GGGGAAAAAGCCCCAGCCATGCTGAAGGAAGGGCTGACTGGGAAGACCGAGCAGCCTCTCGGATGCTCCTGCTGAGCCCCATAGAAAGCTGAGCGATGGCCTCGGGAGGAAGATATAGGACCCGGCTGGGCCTCTGGCAGGCACAGGACCTGGGAGCAGGCCAGGAAGAGGGCAGGTAGCTGCGGAAGTCGAGGCACACAAGTACCTTCAGCACACAATGCAGAACTCCTGTATTGCTCACCAAGAAAATGCCAGTCCCTAGAAAGAGGGTAAGGCAGCAGAGTACGGCTAGGGCTGCTTTTGGCCAGGCAAGTCCTGCTGTGTGCCCTATAAATCCACCTCCGTAAAAGGGCAGGGACAGAATGGGCTGCTCCAGAGGCTGCCAGCTGAAGTACCCAGAGAAAGGAAAGCAACCCCCTTGCAAACACCTGTAAGGACTGCATGAGAAGCCTTCTCTACTTTGCAGCACTCCCTTCCAGAGTCCTCAGCCTTGCACCTTGCAGGCAACAAACCAAGAAAGCGCAGGCTTTGCCCAAAAGGCAGCGGGCAGAGAAGTCGGTTTCCCCCTGAGCGCGCCTCTGGGATGGGCTGTGCAAGGTGGTGCTCAAAGAACAGGCTTCTCACAACGTTCACTCCACACAGCTGGGTCTAATTTGGATCCCATCCCGGACGCTCGCTCCCTTTGCCTCCGCTGAACTGTCGCGCTGACCGCAACACGGAGATTTCCATGCCAAGTGCCAGAACCAGCCTTGGGACGTCACAGTTCTGGGGCACTCTTTTTGGCTCCGTGCTCTAGTCATGTTGGAAAGAGCAAGGAAACCTGCTCACGTGCCTGCACGGACAGGACAGTTCCCACAGCCTACACTTGCATTGGGACAGCACCAGCAGTCACCAGCTCCTGAATGACAGACAGGAAGCATGCATCACCAGCTGGGAAATGTCTGTAGGCCAGCAAACCCACCTCTGCAACCTGCTGGATTCAGGTGCTGGAATAACAAGGCTAATGACCAAGGATTTTTAAGCCCCGCGTTCAGGTTTTCTTGCGGAAAGAAGGTGCCCAAACACCACAGGCGCCCTATAAAGAAGGGGCGTTTGTGAAGTCATGTCTTTATCATGCCCAGAAGTGACTGTGAAAGTGGTAAATGTGAGCGTAAGGGAAACATTGAAAGGAAAGAGAAGGCCAACGACAAGCTCGAGTTTGAGGGACTCGAGCAATTCCTGAGGGATCCAGGCGATGTCACTGTGAAGCTACCCTGGGTTATGGTTGAAAGGCCATGGCGATCAGGAGGGGTTCCAGAGCACTGGAAGAGAGAAAATGCCACCCCTCTCTTGAAGAAAGGCCAGAAGGATTGTGGCAACTACCGGCCAGTCAGCCTGACCTTGATCGCCGGGAAGGTGACGGAGCAACTAATCCCGGAAACCATTTCCGGACACGTGAATGACAGGAAGGTTTGGCCGACGAATCAGCAGGGATTTCTGGAGGGGAAGGGGAGATGATGCTTAACCAACCTGAGAGCCTTCTGGGAGGAGATGGCTGGCTTGACGGACGAGGGGAGAGCAGTCCGTGCTGTTTATCTTGACTTGAGCAAGGCTTTTGATGCTGCCTCCCATAGCATCCTCACAGACAAGCTAATGAAGTCTGGGCTAGACAAAAGGTCGGTAAGGGGGACTGAAAACTGGATGCACGGTCAGGACCAGGGGGTTGGGATCAGCAGCACAAAGTCCAGTGGGAGGTCAGTCACTAGCGGTGTCCCCCAGGGGTCATTCTGGGGGCCGCTACTGTTTAACATGTTCAGTAAGGTGCACCCCCAGCAACTTCACGGATGATACAGAACTGGGAGGAGTGGCTAAGACACCAGCTGTTTGTCCTGCCCTTCAGAGAGACCTTGTCAGGCTGGAGAAGTGGGCAGAGCGGAACCTCATGAAGTTCAACAAAGGGAAATGCCAAGTCCTGCACCTGGCGAGGAAGAACCCCCTGCACTAGCACATGCTGGAGGCCAACAAGCTCGTGAGCAGCTTTGCAGAGAAGGACCTGTGGGACCTCGTGCACAGCGAGTTGGACATGGTCAGCAAAGCAGCCTTGGGGCCCACAAGGCCTATGGTATCCTGGGCTGCATTCGGTGGAGCGTTGCCAGCAGGTGCGGGGAGGTGATCCTGCCCCTCTACTCAGCCCTGGGGAGCCCCCATGGAGCTGGAGTTCTGGGTCCAGCTCTGGGCTCCTCAGTACAAGCAAGACATGCGTTGTCTGCAGCGAGTCTAGCGAAGGGCCAGAAAGATGCTTAAGGAACTGGAGCCTCTTTCCTACGAGGAAAGGCTGAGAGAGCTGGGACTGTTTCGCCCAGAGAAGAGAAGAGTCAAGGGAGAGCTTCTCCATATGTTTCAATAACTTCAGGGAGGGTGTAAAGAGGACGGTGCAAGACTCTTCTTAGGGGTGCCCAGTGGTGGGATGATAGGCAACAGGCACCAACTGAAACATGGCAAATTCCATCCGAACACAAGAAAACCCTCGTTCCCTGTGAGGGTGACTGAGCACTGGAACACGTTGCCCAGAGAGGTGGTGGAGTCTCCGTCCTTGGAGATATTCAGAACCTGACTGGCTGTGGTGCTGGACAAGGTGCAAGATCTACTGCCATTAGAGAAATGTTAAAGAACTTCTTGTAAAACAGACGTCAGGTAAAACATGGTTTCTGCCAAATTCCTCACAAATTATTCCCCACTTCCAACAACTTCTCTTTGCCCGGTAATAGTGCTGAGCAAGAATTTCAAAGGGAATGCTGTAGTCAGTGGACTTTACTGCTTTAAGGGTCTCGTTGCTAACACTTTTCTCAAAGCAATGCCAAGACTTTTTCCTCTCCAGGGGTGGAGGCTCCGGAATTGCAAGGCGCTTTTAGCCATTGCCCTGCCAAGATGCGTCCCATAGCCCAGAGCTTTGGGCCAGGGGAGGCTTGAGGAAAAGCTTGGCTGGGCAGGCTTGGCACAAACCACATGGATGGGGGGATCTCACTTCTCTCCTGGTTACTTTTTTCCTGCCACTGGCCAGCTCTGTAAACGTGAGGGTCTCCCTTCACATGAGGCCTGCTATCTAGAGCTGGGGCTGTCCGGACGACAAAGAACAGCCTTTTTTGAAGGGACTCGTAGAGAGCAAATGCAGGGTGAAGCACTACGCCACCTCAGGGCTCCACAGTCTGCCCATCAGGCTGCTCCTCTGCGCATGGGGTGCGTGCCTCTGCTCCCTCGGTACGAGAGGGGGCCGTCGCTGCATCTCTGTGCGAGTGCTCTCTCTGTCTGCACTTAAGGACCTGCTGGCTTCTCTCACCGTTTCTTCCCTCAAAACAACTCTGCTCTGTGCAAACAGCAAAACCCTCTGTGACAGACACTGGTCTCCCATCTCCCGCAGAAGCGGGCTACTCTCGACTAGAGCGCTTGGACATTTGCACTAGTAATTCCTTCTTGGCCGTGGAAACGATTCCTTTCAGGAAGAGAGAGGCCACTCTTTGTCAGTTCCCGCAGCCTTCCTCTTCAAAGTCCTTGGATGAGCACAGCGCACACATCCAGCTGTGCGCTCTTGGCACACATGGAGCCTGGAAGTGCCTTAGGCTAGCGACCATCTCTTTGCTTGTCATTTGCACAGCACAGAGCACAGCCGAGGTCTGCTCTTTCAGCAGGGCTCCCAGATGCTCCAAAAATACCACTAAGAAGGAAAGCCAAAGATTATGATGTTGGGTATCATCTGGCTCTTATGCCATTCCATCATAATGAAGAAGCACTTACTGCTAAATTGAAAAAAAAAAAGCCTCTGACTCACACACTTGGAATAGCACCTTATGTCCTTCTTCAGTGTTACTGGTTGTAAGTAAATGGGACAGAATGTTGCCCAATGGGTATTTAATAGAAGTGATATTTTAGCTGCTCAGCCAGTTTTGATTTAAAATGAGCCAGAGAGAGGAAAAGATCAACACTGGGTAGCTATGGGATGCATAAACATCCGTTTAACCTGACTTAAGGACAAGGGCAAATATCTTCCTCATAAGAATATGCAAACCTCTCCACTGGAGAGTGACCTGGCTGACGCCGCGCAGATTGTGATTCTGTGTATTTGAGCAGCTGCCCGCGCCTCTGCCACCATCTGCTCCTGTCCTCAGTTCACCTTCTTTAATGTAGTGGCCCAGCTGCCCCTGTGGCCGTGTTCACTAGCTGAGCAGCTCGCTAACCGATCTGGCTGAGAAGTAACCACAGGACAGCACAGATGCCAGCACAACACAGGGCGGCAGAAGAAAACAGTGGGCGGCAAGTGCAGCGATGGGGAACATGCTCCTGGCAGCATCTGAAGAGGCACTGCTGCCACAGGCAAAGCCACAGGCTCACCGGGCATTTCATAGCAAGTTTAAATCAAATGAAAAATGCAGGTGCCCACCTCTTTGCCTTGCCCAGTCCTCCCCTTCTCTTGGGACTAGCAGCTGTCCCAGCTGCATAAGGATGACAAACCAATCTAGTGGGTTTTTTGCGAGATTCCCTGCTGTCCTTGCACCTGGGTTTGATACTTGTTGTATCCTTCCCTCCACAAGCTGTCAGTCACCAGCCCAGCTAAAAGCCACCACAGGCACCCCCCTTCTGAATCGTCAAGTTCAGATTAGCAAACTGAATCAGCCAAATGAAGAAGTGCCAGGAGTGCCAGAGCTGATCAAGCTGTTCGATGTGGAGATCAGAGGAAGAGGAGTAATGCCTTCCATTTACGGTAGTGACGAGCTGTGGACAGATCATCTTCTTGAAGCGCCAGCCTCAGACCAAGCATTTTGGTTGGCTTGCTTGTAGGTGAGTGACAAAGCCAGTCTTAAATTACAGCCTCCGCGCTGCGCTCGTTCTCGAAGCTCTAGGACTAGGTGGGATCTTTAACGCCAAGCGGGTGGCGAGCTCTGTTCTTGCTTGGTGCACGGTTACAGAGCCCTTGCGTCCCCCTGACCGCCTGGTGGGAAATTCAGATACGGCAGGGGTAGCATACCACCCTCCCCAACCC